AGTTAGGGTTGGAGCAGTTTTTATAGGTAAAATCATCTTCCCGACATTTTTTATTAATGCTTCGAGACAGGTTGAGACACTCGTTTCTTGTATTTTTGGCGTTTTTCACTTTTTTTTCTTTGTTTTTGTCTCGCCGGGCTGATCCGGGTTAATCAAAATTTATATTTTGATTGGCTGTTGGTCACGTGAACGCACCTGGCTTTAGACAGTCCCATTGGTCAATCAATATTATTTTCACGTGATTCTGCACGACTCTCCATGATTTGATTAGCTAATACTGTAGTAATAATCATGAGACAATACATGAACTTTTGTACGTATAAATATGACATAATCGTAATCACACGTTAATGTTGTAATGTTAATATTAAGGCAATGGCCGCCACCATAAATTGTTTATATTTTCACCCCACATATTCCAAATATTATAATGAGATGATACGTCAATAATTGAAACTTTAGATCTGAGAACGTATTTTTTCATGTGTTTTATGAGTTCTGATACTATTCGAGAATCACATTCTACCAAATAGATTGGATGTGGAAACGCTGTACCCACGTTTTTTGGATGGACAAACGTGTCGTATAGTACGCGACCCTAATTCGTCAAAATTTTTTTTTATTCATATGACAACTTTTTTTCGAATTATTTATAAAATAAAAAACTTACAATTGGACTCAAGAACGCTGAATAAAATCCATCTCCACCGGATTGAATTAATGGCATATGATTTGTTATTAGTCCTTGCAAAAATTTTACACTATCTTCACCACCAACTTCTACCAAACCGCGATCAGGCACCTGAACATAATGATCGCTTTGTAAAGTTGACACCGAAACTGAAATAATAACATTTTTTTGTTTATTCCAAGGCTAGTATTTATTTAGTCTCATAATAAATAAACTTACATTGTCTTTTTAACGTTAAGCTACGAACCAATGTTTTCCATTTATACATAGTCGATCTCGAATGCAATAAAGAATTGGCATTTTTCGCAAATTTGATTATCAGTGTATTATACAGTTATAGATATAGATAATTGATTTTTATTACGTAACTCGTTAATAAAAAAGGCAATATAGTACAGTATACGTACAGTATAATACGTATTTGATATTGACGTATATAATAAATGTTTTAAATTAAATATAGTGCCCTTTAAAAATTTAAAGAAATACATATTAGGCCATACAAACTTAATTAATTGGTTCTCATAACCCGGCCGGGTCAAATTCAACAAAATCTTGAACTTTTTAAAATTTTTGTAAAAAATTTTATATGTTTTTTACATATAAAATTTTTTGAAAATAAAATTAAAAGCC